AGGGATCCATGCGCGCTCCTCTCTCTCTCTCTGCGGGGGAAACGCGCGTCTCGCGAACGGGGGTCACGCCAAGTCTCGCGAGATGATGGGAAGTCTCGCGAAATGTAAATAATATGGAAAAAAAAGAACAGTGGCGTTAAAGAGACAGAGACGCTTCCTTTATAATATTACAAAGCGTGTTTGTTTGTAATGCAAAGTGTGCAGTTTCTTCATTGCAGCCAGAAACTGTACCTCATATTTTTATGGCATACGTTATTAAAATCGTGATTACACTCAAGTTTTATATTTATCACTGTAATTACAGCGAACAGGGATTTGAAAATTATAGTTACTATTATGGGAAGCTCAAACAAAAAAGTGTGTGCGTGTGTGTGAGAGACGGAGTCAGTTTGTGTGTGAGTGAGTGTGTGTGTGTGTGTGTGTGTGTGTGTGTGTGTGTGTGTGTAAGAGAGAGACGGAGTCCGTTTGATTGTGAGAGTTAGTGTGTGTGTGTGTGTGTGAGAGAGAGACGGAGTCCGTTTGTGTGTGAGAGTTAGTGAGTGTGTGTGTGTGAGAGACGGAGTCAGTTTGTGTGTGAGAGTGTGTGTGTGTGTGTGAGACGGAGTCAGTTTGTGTGTGAGAGTTAGTGAGTGTGTGTGTGTGAGAGACGGAGTCAGTTTGTGTGTGAGAGTGTGTGTGTGTGTGTGAGACGGAGTCAGTTTGTGTGTGAGAGTTTGTGAGTGTGTGTGTGTGTGAGAGTGTGTGTGTGAGTGAGTGAGACGGAGTCAGTTTGTGTGTGAGAGTTAGTGAGTGTGTGTGTGTGTGTGTGTGAGACGGAGTCAGTTTGTGTGTGAGTGAGTGTGTGTGTGTGTGAGTGAGTGAGAGACGGAGTCCGTTTGTGTGTGAGAGTGTGTGTGTGTGTGTGAGTGAGTGAGACGGAGTCAGTTTGTGTGTGAGAGTTAGTGAGTGTGTGTGTGTGAGAGTTAGTGAGTGTGAGAGTGTGTGTGTGTGTGTGAGTGAGACGGAGTCAGTTTGTGTGAGTGCAAGTATGTGTGTGGGTGTGAGAGAGTGTGTGTGTGTGTGAAACGGAGTCAGTTTGTGTGTGTGAGAGAGAGTGTGTGAGTGTCTGAGGGTGTGTGTGTTAGAGTCTGAAGGTGAGTGTGTGTGTGTTTTCATCTAAAACTATTTTAAACAACCATTTCTCAAATTGTTGTAAGATTCTTATTAATGCCATTTTCATGAGCTCATATTAATAGACAGATTTGTACATGTGTCCTTCTGTTAATAGAGTGACAGGGGGATTTAAGAGAAACTGCAGATTAAAAGTGATTAAAAGAAATGGTGACCAGTGACCAAACCTTTAGGTCTCACACACACACACACTCTCTCTCTCTCTCTCTCACTCACACACACTGCATTGATCTCATAGACCTGCAGAATCAGATGTTTCGGTCTGTATCCTGATAACTGGATCATTTCCTAAATCATAAGGCGCTCGCTGCCCCCTGCTGGAGACGTCCCTCCACTGACGATACACACCAGCGGATCATGAGCAGAGCTGTATGGAAATCACATACCATTATACATGCATTCATAATTGCATAAACACTTCGCTATGACAAGTTAGAGTAAGTTTGGACCAATCTCAGACTAAAACTGTGATGCGTGTTGTCTGTGATAAAGCACACAACGCGGATCTGTCTTTAAATAAGGGTTTTATTATCACAGAAGCAGTAATGCACCAGTACAGAGGAGAAGGGCTCGAGCGACGACAGCACAGCCAACACACGAGCAGGAGCGCCGGCGAGAGGCAACAGAGCTTTGGATGTTCGATCCGGGTCTCCGTCAGGGGTTTGTACCAGTCGTGTCGTTGCGTTAACACACACACACACCACATTCAAAGAGATCGACGTTCACCGACTCAGACGGTCGAAAAACTACAAACGACATTCTGAGGTAAAAAACAAAACAATAAAACTATCCATACACGTCACACAGAAGAGCAAGACTTCATAAGCATACTAAAAAAGTGAATAATATCCAATCATAATCAAAACGTACCCAAAAACCTATAAATGACCTTTTTTGTGTGTATGTGTGTGTGTACATTCCAGAAAATGTATAAACAAAAAGCACAAGTTAAACTGAGGAGGGCAAACACGACATCATCATCACGAGCGATCACTCGTTCCCTCTGAAGCCTGTGAACGCAGGGAGGTTCGGTGTGTGTGTGTGTGTGTGTGTGTGTGTGTTCGCAGGCTGCAGAGGGAGTGTGTGATGAACAGCAGAAGCTAGTCTTCATCCGAGGAGTCCCTGTCGAAGCTGTAGGCCATGAAGAGCACGTCGGGTCGAGCGGGGACTGAGGCCTGGCCCGGCTTCACCATCTCAAAGCCCAGGAAGCTGAACGTACGCACCAGTTTCACTGCGGACACACACACACACACAGGTCAGAACAGAACACACACACAGGCCAGGTCAGGGCATCAGACACACACACTGTCTCTCAATCACTTACACACACACACGTCAGAACACACACAGGTCAGGTCAGGACAGAACACACACACCTCAAACATCAGAACCCACACACACACACACTCTCAATCACTTACACACACAGGTCAGGACATCAGAACAGAACAAACAGGTCAGGGCATCAGACACACACACACACACACAGGTCAGGACAGAACACACACACACACACACCAGAACACACACACAGGCCAGGTCAGGGCATCAGACACACACACACACACACACACACACTGTCTCTCAATCACTTACACACACACACGTCAGAACACACACAGGCCAGGTCAGGTCAGGACAGAACACACACACCTCAAACATCAGAACCCACACACACACACACACTCTCAATCACTTACACACACAGGTCAGGACATCAGAACAGAACAAACAGGTCAGGGCATCAGACACACACACACACACAGGTCAGGACAGAACACACACACACACACACACCAGAACAGAACACACACAGGTCAGGTCAGGGCATCAGACACACACACTGTCTCTCAATCACTTACACACACACACGTCAGAACACACACAGGCCAGGTCAGGTCAGGACAGAACACACACACCTCAAACATCAGAACCCACACACACACACACACTCTCAATCACTTACACACACAGGTCAGGACATCAGAACAGAACAAACAGGTCAGGGCATCAGACACACACACACACACAGGTCAGGACAGAACACACACACACACACACACCAGAACAGAACACACACAGGTCAGGGCATCAGACAGACACACACACACACACACACACACACACAGGTCAGGGCATCAGACACACACACACACACACACAGGTCAGGACATCAGAACAGAACAAACAGGTCAGGGCATCAGACACACACACACACACACACACACACACACACACACACACACACAGGTCAGGACAGAACACACACACACCAGAACAGAACACACACAGGTCAGGGCATCAGACAGACACACACACACACACACACACACACACACAGGTCAGGGCATCAGACACACACACACGTACGTACCACGGTCGTCCCGGTTCTTATAAAAGCAGACGAACACACTGAGAACCTTCAGATGCTCTTCAGCAAACTCCAGCAGAGAGATGAAGCTGAAACACACACACACACACACACACACATCAAACTACATCCGACATATACTGGGAAAATAATAATGTGGAAAATTTTGTTTGGAAAATATTTAGTTATATTGAGTTTCATAATTAAGTTTTCCCACTCAATAGTACGGTGTCTCTCCGTCTATTCATTTATCTAATTGGTATCATTTAATTTTTAATCCAATTTCTATTATTTAAATCATTTTTTTATTATTTTTTATAAACTATTTTTTTTATTATTTATATTTGAACCTAATTTGTATTATTTATTTATAGTTTACATTTATTTATACATCATTTTTATTATTTAAGTCAATATTTTTATTTAATTATTTATTTATTTTTAATATTTTAAAAAATAATTTCACATCTTATTTTTATTTAAACAAAAAAATTCAATATTTTATTTAATATTTGTATATTTATTTAGATTTTTTCTATTTTTTCATAATTTATTTTAATCAAATTGTTATTTATTTACATCAATTTTTATTATTACTTTTAAACTAATTTCATCTATTATTTTAATCCAATTTGTATTACTTTTATTTATTTATAACCTAATTTTTATAATTTACTCATTTCCCTTTTTTACTATTTTAAAATGTTTATACGTTTTAATTTGAAAAAATGCTTAAATATATTTTTTATATGCTCAAATGTATTTAAATATACATTTTTATTTTTTTTATAATTTATATTGATTAATAATCTAAATTCAATCATTTTTTTCTTTTCTTTTATATTATTTTAAAATAATGTTTTATTCATTTTATTTTTATAATTAACATTTTTGTATTCAATATATTTAGAATTTAATAATTGCATTAATTAAAATCTACTTTAAATCTATACGATTTATTATTGTAATCTAATCATCACCGAGCCGTTGCTATGGGGCTGTGTGCGGTTGCTAGGGTCACCTCTCCTTGCTGCCCTCAGGGAAGGCGTCGCAGGGAATCTCCACGAACAGGCCGTCTCCCCGAAGCACCGCCTCCCATTGGATGATCCGGGACACGGTGGGCCGGCTCTGGAAGTGAAGGATTCTGGGACGCCCGCTCACAGCCGGCTCTTCAGTCACAGTCAACTTCCTGTCCTGGGAACCAGAAACAGGCGTGAGCTTCAGTAGCCGTCGCCACGGATACGCAAACTGAGGATCTACAAGCCCTCCATCATCATAATGCACACGCCTCCAGGGTTACAGGGGAAACACCCATATCTCACTCGCTCCGGCACACGGCCACAGGAGGAAAGGCCCTCGCACAAAAAAGTCATATTACTAAATAAATACGACCTCACGTTGTGTCAATCACGTTTGCACTCCGCCTCCGAAACTCTCGTCCGTCATTAAACAATTCGGATCCGGTTCGATGTTCTGCGTTCTCACGTGTCTGGTCAGAGCTCACTCGTCGGGTCAGAGGTCATTCATCAGAGGTCATGTGTCGGGTCAGAGGTCACTCACCAGAGGTCGTGTGTCGGGTCAGAGGTCACTCATCAGAGGTCATGTGTCGTGTCAGAGGTCACTCATCAGAGGTCACGTGTCGGGTCAGAGGTTACTCACCAGAGGTCATGTGTCGGGTCAGAGGTTACTCACCAGAGGTCATGTGTTGGGTTAGAGGTCACTCATCAGAGGTCATGTGTCGGGTCAGAGGTCACTCACCAGAGGTCGTGTGTCGGGTCAGAGGTCACTCATCAGAGGTCATGTGTTGGGTTAGAGGTCACTCATCAGAGGTCATGTGTTGGGTCAGAGGTCACTCATCAGAGGTCACGTGTCGGGTCAGAGGTTACTCACCAGAGGTCATGTGTTGGGTTAGAGGTCACTCATCAGAGGTCATGTGTCGGGTCAGAGGTCACTCATCAGAGGTCGTGTGTCGGGTCAGAGGTTACTCACCAGAGGTCATGTGTTGGGTTAGAGGTCACTCATCAGAGGTCATGTGTCGGGTCAGAGGTCACTCACCAGAGGTCGTGTGTCGGGTCAGAGGTCACTCATCAGAGGTCATGTGTTGGGTCAGAGGTCACTCATCAGAGGTCACGTGTCGGGTCAGAGGTTACTCACCAGAGGTCGTGTGTCGGGTCAGAGGTCACTCATCAGAGGTCATGTGTTGGGTCAGAGGTCACTCATCAGAGGTCACGTGTCGGGTCAGAGGTTACTCACCAGAGGTCATGTGTTGGGTTAGAGGTCACTCATCAGAGGTCATGTGTCGTGTCAGAGGTCACTCATCAGAGGTCATGTGTCGGGTCAGAGGTCACTCATCAGAAGTCATGTGTTGGGTTAGAGGTCACTCATCAGAGGTCATGTGTTGGGTCAGAGGTCACATGTCGGGTCAGAGGTCACGTGTCGGGTCAGAGGTCACTCACCAGAGGTCATGTGTCGGGTCATAGGTCACGTGTCGGGTCAGAGGTCACTCACCAGAGGTCGTGTGTCGGGTCATAGGTCACGTGTCGGGTCAGAGGTCACTCACCAGAGGTCATGTGTCGGGTCATAGGTCACGTGTCGGGTCAGAGGTCACTCACCAGAGGTCGTGTGTCGGGTCAGAGGTCACTCGTCTGCCGGAACTCTACTCGCATACGGCCGTTACCGGAAGCCAGTGATTATAGTTGATGGAGTTATAGATATGGATATTTGTCTTGCTTCAGAAGGCTGGAGGCGTATGATTACTTTATGATGATGGATGGACTTTTGTGGGCTTCAAAATCTCATCCTCCATTCACTGCCATTATAAAGCTTGGAAGAGCCAGGGCATGTTTTAATATACCTGTGTTCGTCTGAAAGAAGAGTGTCATATACACCTAGGACGACTTCAGGGTGAGTAAACCATGGGCTAATTTAAAGCAGTGAAACCGTGGTCATGTGATCAGTGGTCATGTGACGTGTGCTCTCACCGAGTACAGCTGCTGAGCTGCGGGTGTGTGATCCCGTGCCCCGTTCCCTCGCCCACCTGGGATCTTCAGAGGTGGGTGAGGGGCATCAGGAACACCACAGAGGCCCTGGACCAGTGGAACTACTACAGCACACGGACACACTGCGGAAACACACACACACACACATCAGATCCGCTCCATCAGCATGGGGTCGCAGTCTCTCTCGACACAAGACACTAAAGTGATGCCTTGGTGGACAATATACAAATGTCTGAGGGCGGAAATATGCTAATAGGGGAAATATGCTAATAGGGGAAATATGCTAATAGTGGAAATATGCTAATAGGGGAAATATACTAAAAGTGGAAATATGCTAATAGGGGACAGTCGGTCAGCGCTCGTGGGCGGAGCTTGATCATTATGACATCATATTGCTCAGAAAATCCAAATGCTTGATTATTGAGAGTGTTTAGACTGAGGATTAAAAAAAAGCAGGAGCCGTGGGAACCCAGAATTAATCGAATCTGTAATCTTGATTACAATTACGGATGCCACAATTATGCAATCGTTCAAAGGCAATAATAAAAAAAAAAAAATAAAAAAAAAAAGTCCACTTGCATTATTCTTTCTAATTTCTATTTTCTTCTTTCTACAGCTCATCTTAAGGGTTTTTCCTCATTGTTTTAATTTTAGTTTTAGAATATCATGCATATTTTTTACTTTGGTTTGGTTTCTTTAAAAAATTTTTTTTTAATATTTGCCATTTGAGGCTTAATGCGATAGAAAAGCAATAACAGTTTTTCAGGAAGAGTGTTTTCAGCTCGTTTATGTGATATTACAATACGGCATGCAGTCGCTTCAAACAACGGCAAAAGCCGTTCAAAACATCAGTCAATGTAGATTTGATAATCGCAATTACAATTTCATGGGAATAATCGACGATTATGATTTTTGTCATAATTGCGCAGCCTATTTTGTCTATATTTATACATAACACGCCAGTTCTGCTTTCCATCGCAGTCACGTGACGTATGTTGAAGATTTATTCTGTTATTGTCTTTCCATCACAGTCTTTAAAGGCACATGCATATTTTTATGCACTTTTTTTTAGAATTATGTGCATCTTTGTGTTCCTTTATGCGAATAGGCTTTATGCCGAGCGTCACGTGACCAAACCGGAAAAACGGGTCTCATTGCATCCGCTTGTCAGAGAAAGTGTTAACGGCCGTAAGAACTAACTACGATATCTATGGATTTTTAAGGTAATCAGCTAACCTACTAAGTTCACTTTGTTATAAACGTTAGTGTGAAGAAGAAAAATTAAAAAACTTTTAAATATCAATCTCCACATGCGAGGGACATTGGTTATGCTCATTTTTGCTGGCTCCTTTTAAGTTATCTTGAGTAAAACCGCAAAAAATTTCATGAAGCACATACAAAAGACCTGAATCGGAAGCGATGTGATCTGTTTTCCGGCTTGGTCACGTGACGCTCGGCATAAAGCCTATTGCAACGTTGATGTTTTAAATCGTGACGTCACCAAGCGGCTCTTCTCATGTTCACGTGCAGTCAGAGCACAGACATATGGGTAATAAAGTCATACCAGATCGAGTATGCAACAGTGACTTCTGCCGCACAATAAATGAATGTACTTCCGGTCATTAGTGAATGATTTCCCGCGCGAGTTATTGTGTCAAAATTGTTTATATACGATATTGTTTCATAATTGTTTTTATATGTCGTCTGATTTTTTATATATACATGAGATTTAAAAAAAAACTCAACACTATCCTTCACATCACCGAATCTCATATTTCAATGTACAATACTGAAAAATAAAATATAACCAACAAAAAATACTCGTCGGCGCGATCAAAGGCCCGAGTCTGGTGACGTCACGACGTCGACGTGACGTACGTGTAAAGAGCGAGGCCTTCGACGTCAAATCTCACAACAAAAAGACTGTATACCGAAATTAAAACGATAAGCGCGTTCATAAGTCAACGAGCTGTTTAAATACAAGCGTGTATCGCTTAATATGCGATATGACGACACCAATCAGGTGTGTGAACGTGAATTTAACGGGCTACATTTTATTAGGCCACATTTCCTTCATTTATATTTCAGTTTATCATCTTAACGTGACATGATGATGGGTTTCCAACACTTTTAAAACTTTACAGATGTACTTCAGTGTGTGTTAGTTGAGCAAAACAGTTTAGAGCGTTACTAAAAACACAACTGCTAGCATTAGCATTAGCCCCTCAGGCCCCTGTGAGGAAATAATTCCCACTAAACCCCCATTAAACCGCACAATTAAGCCAACAGCCCTTATTATAATGACTTTATCTTATCATATGAACATTTTCAAGTTGTAAAATGTGAGTAAACGGGCTGTTAACGGGGTAGAAGTCTCTCTCTCTCACCTTCCCATCATGTCATTAATACTGTTACTGAGCGCCTCCATGATGCTGATTTCACACTGTTTCTTTCCTTCTTTCTCACGGGCAAAGCAATGACTGTTTAGGATCCGCTGGAGGTTGGATTTTACCATCCGGCCTCGGGAGAGTTCACGCCGGCCTGTGTGCGCTCTTCTGCGGTCAGCGAGTAAGTGAAGACCCGGAGGAGGAGATGCGCATTAAGACACGCGCAGCGCTACTATTGCGAAGGCCGCGCTCATGAATATTCATCACCTCGTCATCGCGGCCCTTACGCAACAGGCTTCGAGCGTCCGGTCACGTGGTCACTTAATATTCAACAGGCAGCGCTTTCAGCCAACCGGATGAGCGAACGTCTGCTGTCGTCGTTAATATTCATGAGCCAAGCCTTCGCCATAGTGCGCTCGGTCTTCTCGTTTGTTCAGAGAGTGGAAAATTACTGAGAGGAAGCAAATGCTGTTTTGCTGTTTTGTCTGTTGACTGAGGCGTGTGTGTGTCGTGATGATGTTTTCACACATTATGTATGTGCATTTGAGAACACGACATGCTATTGTCTCATATATACATATATGAAACTACTTTGTTTTTTAAACATGGAAGATAAAGTAATTTTTTCCTGTAATAAAATAAAGCATGTGCTATTGGCTTCTACAGCAACGTAAATGGTTCCACTTGAGTCAAATCTTCTGGTTTAGGGTTTAAAGGTCAAGAGGTGTAATTTGCCTGTATTGTATTTTCTAGCATTTAAAGTCACGTAGCTCCTCTTCACATGCAGACAGATGATGAGAATCGGAGAGTTTTATTGCTGAACACTCTTATCTCTGCGAGACTGTAGTAACTCACCATTACTGTTGCTGGGTTTACTGGGGTCATAAAGCAAAAGCACATGCATGTAACAATCGCTCCATCCATCAAGAAATGCATCCAAGATAGACTACATCTCTTTAACCGCATACACACATAACACATTATCACATTTCTGTAACTCAAATGCTGCTTACATTGAGTTGTTACATCGTAAGAAGAAGGGCATGTATGCTAATATTAGTGTGTGTGTGTCT